ATCTTTTTACGTACTCTTTTGAATTGTATGAGCCTCATCCGACGAACTTCTGTGCAAGTGTGTGTGTGTGTGCGCGTTAGTCGATCTAGATATGATAGAGAAGATTTGTAGCTCAGGTGGATGATTTTGATGTTGTTGTGTTATCTGAGCTGGATAGTTAATTTGCGAAGCTTTCATCACCTTACTGGGTGACATCTTCAGCGCATACTTCAATTTGAAGTGAGCTTTTAGATTTCTCCACGAGTTTATTAATCATCTCTCCTGGCGACCTTGGACGTGATTGGTTGTTTTTGTCTGTTTTCACACCTTCTAGGTTACTTGTATTGTCACTCATTGTTTCTTTGGCTTGAACTTTGACCCTTTGTGTGTGACGTTTCTTTCTTATCGGTTGATAAATTTTGTCTATCTCGATGTGTCTATTGATTGATGATTCACTGGAATGCCAAGCTTCTAAAAATTCTCTAGCATTCTTGTTGTTTCCTCTGTCTAGTATTTGAACGTTGTTCCAGTCGAATTGATGTCCTTGATTGTCTGTATGTAGTGATATGAGGGAGTGGATATCATGTCTTTTGACGGCTAGCTTATGTTCGTGGATACGAAGACGAAGGGGACGTCCACTTTGGCCAATGTAGTGTTTTTCGCAGTTGATGCAATCTATTTTGTAGATGATGTTGGTTTTATCTTTATCTTTATATATATATAAAAGGCATCTCAGAAATCACTACAAGACTCTTCAAACCTTTAGGAATTGACGTCGTACACAAACCAACAAAGTCACTTCACTCAATTCTATGTCAACCAAAAGACTCAACAGCGAAAGAAGATAAAACCAACATCATCTACAAAATAGATTGCATCAACTGCGAAAAACACTACATTGGCCAAAGTGGACGTCCCCTTCGTCTTCGTATCCACGAACATAAGCTAGCTGTCAAAAGACATGATATCCACTCCCTCATATCACTACATACAGACAATCAAGGACATCAATTCGACTGGGACAACGTTCAAATACTAGACAGAGGAAACAACAAGAATGCTAGAGAATTTTTAGAAGCTTGGCATTCCAGTGAATCATCAATCAATAGACACATCGAGATAGACAAAATTTATCAACCGATAAGAAAGAAACGTCACACACAAAGGGTCAAAGTTCAAGCCAAAGAAACAATGAGTGACAATACAAGTAACCTAGAAGGTGTGAAAACAGACAAAAACAACCAATCACGTCCAAAGTCGCCAGGAGAGATGATTAATAAACTCGTGGAGAAATCTAAAGGCTCACTTCAAATTGAAGTATGCGCTGAAGATGTCACCCAGTAGGGTGATGAAAGCTTCGCAAATTAACTATCCAGCTCAGAGAACACAACAACATCAAAAAGTTAGTCGATCTAAATGTATGAATTAAATCTCTGAATTCCAAATCAGATTATTCTCTACGGATTAACCATTTGGATTGACTTTTGACGAACTGAACTGTGAATTTTAATTCATAATTTATGTGTAGTAACAGTCTATATCCAAAAGAAAATCGTGGAGACGTATCTCAGCTTTGATTTCCGCTCCACCTAATACGGTCTGAGTAGTATAATCCGCCCTCAATGATAGGACCCAGCATAATATAGCATATCATTCATCCTCATGAACCGTGGGATTTATTATGTGATGGTGTTACTATGTGAATGTATCATTCCTCACGGATATTGTGATTTAGTATGTGATCAATTTATCGTCTTTAGTGTTACCTTGGTCTTTGTCGTATCGTCAACCAATCAGGAGAGATATTTCCAGCCAATAAGAACAATCAACTCTCTCAGCGCTAAATATGGCGCTGAAGATGTTGTCCAGAAGGACGGCGAAAGCTTCGCAACTAAACCAACCAGCTCAGAGAGCACTATTAATTGCAGACCAGATTAGAGCAATTAATAGATCGCAGAGGGATGTTTTTTTATAGTCATTTAGGTAAATACATGTATAGGATGTGGCGCAACTTTTCTGTTGATACTCCTATGTGTTAAACTGGGAGTCACATTTATCGAATGTAAGAGAAAGGTATCCTCTGTAACACTTTTATGCATTTTTTTCATAAATACATGCAATTTATTTTTACGAGTTGATCATGGATTGATATCAGTTAGAGAACCATTGAAAACCAGGGAGTACTGGACAGCTGTTTCATCCTAGTTTGGGAATCATCGCCAGTACGCACCCACTGGGGTTCGAACCCAGGACCTTCCGGTTACAAGGCAAGCTCGTATACCATCCAGCTACTCGGACTCGATTCAGTCACGTGTGAGGATGGATATCCCACCGACGACATTGGTTGGTGGTCGCGCTAAATCACGAATTGGTAGAAGTTACAATTCATGAACTGGCCTTTGAATCGGGTCCCAGTAGCTGAATGGTATACGAGCTTGCCTTGTAACCGGAATGTCCTGGCTTCGAACCCCAGTGGGTGCGTACTGGCGATGATTCCCAAACTAGGATGAAACAGCTGTCCAGTACTCCCTGGTTTTCAATGGTTCTCTAACTGATATCAATCCATGATCAACTCGTCAAAACAAATCTAATCCTTGCAAACCAACTATAGAAAACATGTATTTTAAACCCAAAAATAGCCCCTTTTACGTGATTGGTGCGTTCAAGGTCATTCGCTGATTGGCAGTTACTGGTGTCTAAGGTTTGACTTTGCCCCGATGGTTAAAGATTAGAAAGGTAATGATAATAATGAGCAGACAGATGTACGCCTCATTCCACTATTATCAATGTCATCATCATCACCACCATCAGTGAGGATCTCTCTTCATTCCTGACTTAATGCACAGCACTAATTACGAATTCACAACAGGACTTCAGGAAATCCACGTCGAAGATGTGTGGGGATTCAATCCACTACTCATAAATAGATATGTTCCAAAGTTCCATTAAGAAGTTATGATTGTTGGCGTCCACCATGTCAGCAGTGAAGACACAAATACTCGCCGATGACGTCGGATGGCGGCAGCGCTATATCACAGATTACCATGAGACCCCAGCCCACTAGATGAATAACATATTTACCCCATAACTTGACACTCTTCTAGGTACGACACCTGGTGGAGTTGCGAGCATATTGCTGAAGATTTTCAAACTAACACAGAATGAACCACTGTCAAATTCTCCTCGACTTTTAATATATCATTCTAATGTAACGCAGAAAGCAAGGGCCAGGCAACAGATCGTTTATTGAGAAAATCAACAGATATTTATAGATCTTTACTTACATTATTATTAGCAGAGAAATAGCGTTTCCTGATTGGTTGTTTTCTCGCTGAAAGTTAATCTGTCATCTCTTTGTGGCCATTGCTTTGAAGGTCAGACCATATATCTGCGAATCGTATCCGCCCACGCAGTCTGTTGTGATTGGTTGTTGAGTTAGTCTTTGTTCTTGTTTTTTTCTCATGACCAAGATTTGGAGCGTAAACATTGACGTAAATTGCTGTCGACCAATTTTGGCTAGCAGACAGCTCTCACCACACTAACTGATATCGGTTTACGACGGGATTTATATCCTTAAATAATAAACACAAGCCTTTCACACTCGATAGCACTGATTAACAGCTTTTGAGCAACACTAGCACATATATGACAAACTACGAAACTCTCCAATTGTCCAGACAGAAGTACACAGAATGAGATTTGGATATGATTGCTTGGTTATCAATCGCATACATATGAGTCAAAATTGATCTCAATTAAGCAAATGTTCTACTTCGATCCGGAGAAACATTACCAGAAAAATTGCATTTTCTTAGTCAAATGGTGTTTTTTTTACAATGAATGATATTTCTATTTTTCTTTGTGAGCATCCTCTTCGTTGCTGCTTGTTGTGAGTTAGTTTCTTTTTAAAAATTTCAGCTGTTATCCGGATAAAATTTCTCATGTAGCAGAGACTATTTTAGGGGAACGGCTAGCACCCAGTTTCCCATCCCAAGATAAAGCAGGTGGAGCAAGACTCGAACTTGACACCCTATTGGCTAAAAGTTGAGTGTTCAAAACCCAATGAAGTGCATAAAGTTAGTGACCTGAAATATCACGTATGTAGTGAATGTCTTGAGCGGGATATACTTACACGCCATTCTACGAAATGAGCTAGCTATGCTTTAGTATCATTACGGTTTACCAATAAAATACAGGCGAAAAGCAACAAGCTGGCTGATGAAGCAGTGCAACGAAGACAGGACGCCAGGTGAACACAGAGAATACGAAGGGAGAGATTAGCAAGACGTTGCTTCTTTCACTTATCATAGGAAGCATCGTTTCAACTACAGGTGGGCGGAATGGATGAAGATGTCAAAGCCAGCCAGAATCGGAAAGGCAAGATACGCCTTCATCAACCTGAAACCAGTTTGGAAATCTTCTGCACTCAACATAAGGAACAAGATTCGGATTTTCAACACAAACGTGAAGTCACTTCTTCTATACAGGTCAGAAACTTGCACTGCGTGTCACGAAAAGGATTTCCAACAAGTCATGCAGACTTTCATCAACAGCTGCCTTCGCTGGCTCCATACCAAAGATCAAATGGCCAGAAGGCATTAGTAACAAGAAAGTCTGGAGATGAACAAACCAACCGAGCAAGAGCCGATTGCTCAACAAATATGTAAGAGAAAATGGAGATAAATCAGTCACACGCCACTGAAGAGACCGTCGATTGACATCACTCGAGTGGAATCACAATGGGAAGACACTAACGGGTTGTCAGTGAGAGAGTGATATGGAGGAGATGAGAGATTATGGGCAATGGTGGCCTCAGCCAGCTGAAGAGGACAGCAGAAAATAGAACAAAGTGTTCCACTCGGAACCCAAGGGAACAATAATAATAACAACATAATACAATACGTCGACCTGTTCGCCCAACACACAAGCTGTTCGAAGATGATTCTCAATTAATTGAGTTAGTGTTAATCGGAACAAATATATATACAAAAAGAACATATATGTATAAGGACAATTTATTTCACGTAATAAAATCCATTGAAATGCACATAAGGGTATTTAAAATGTTAGGTACAAATAATAATAATAATTGCAATTACAATTATTCAGTAAGAATAGGACAAATAACATGCATGGATAAAAGCGAAATTTATTGAAAGTAAAAAAACGTATAAAAAAGTTCATTATTTCATATAGGAATGATTATTTGCACTTATAAGGCGAATCAGAATTATGATTATCATTACTGTCCTTATTATTACTATTATTATTTTTGCACGGAGTTTGAGAATGCAATGTATTATTCGGCTTGCGAGCAGACTTTAACAGGCTGAAAATAGTAAGAAGAAAAAAAGGGAAAAATTAGAGTCAAGTGATGGTTTGCAGGGATTTGAGGTTCCTTCTTTGTATGGAATTACTACTGATGATTTAGATTCCTTATTGTTGGTGTTGTCATTATCTTGTGCATGTTTGACATGCATGTCGTCATTAATATTATTATTATCACCATCACTACTATCATTATTTATTTTATTTTTACACTTCCCTACATATTTCCTGACTAATTTATCAGAGTAATTATTAAGTTTCAAGGCTTCTCTTATATGTATCAGTTCCTGTTTTAGATTTTCTTTGGTGCTACTTAGTTTTTGTGCTCTGTCACTTAAACATTTCAGCAATCCTACTTTTACTGACATAAGATGGGATGATCGGAAGTCCAAATATATGTTTGAATGTGTGGGTTTCCTGTAAACACCAGTGTTTAATTTCCCATCTTCTTTCCTTTTTACACTGCAATCTAACATTGGAAGCTCCACCTCCTTCCTGACTTTCCAATACATAAGTGAATTGAGTTGCCTCTACCTTTGAGTTAATCTATCTATATCCTGTGTTCTAAGTATAGTGAATGTGTCATCCACATACCTCCACCATACTTTTGGGGTGGAGTTGAACGTTTCAATCGCTACATTTTCCCACCTATCCATGAATATATCTGTTACAACCAGGGATATTGGTGACCTCATGCCAACTCCCTCAGTTTGTTTGTATATTTTCCCTTGGAATTTAAATACTGTGGAAGTCAGGCATAGCTGCACTCCCAGCATTATGTCCTCTAATAGTGGCACTTTCGTCCTGAGTTCGAGTTCTTGGTCAGAAATGAGTTCGTTTCTGACTGCCTCTATAGCCATATTTATTGGTATACGTGTATATAAACTGTCAAAAAATAATCAAATAAAAAAAAATTGAAGGGATTTGATTCGATTGGTGATTACAGGATTTCATCATGACATGAGCTGACACCACCACCAGTTAAAGAAAACCATTGAAAACAAGAATTTACATACTGGACGGCTGTTTCGTCAACCTAGTTTGGGACTCTTCAGCAGTATGTATCCATCAGAGTTCGAATCCATGGCCTTCAGGTAACGAGGCAAGCCAGCTCGTAGACCATTATTAAGCCACTGAGAGGCCAATCCAATGACCAGTCTATGAATTCCAACTTCTGCCGATTCGTGATGTATATTCAGCATAACCGCTAATGGGATCCACCTATTCAGGCAAGAGGACATTTACGCGTCTATGACACTTACTGGAGGTCGCGCTAAATTATTATTATTATTCCCTGGCTTCAACAACAAATCTCCACTCTATTCTGTTTTCTCCTGTCGTCTTCAACTGGTTGAGGCCACGATTGACCATAATCTCTCATCTCCTCTTCGCACGATCTCCTCCATGTCACCAAAGAACAACCCACTCGTGGCTTCCCTTTTGGATTCCACTCGAGAGCCTGGCGCGCGATGTCATTCGACGGTTTCCTCAATGTATGTCCGATACATCTCCATTTTCTTCTACATATTTGTTGAGCCATCGGCTTTTGGTTGGTTTGTTCATCGCCAGAGTTTCCTGTTACTTATTCTTTCTGGCCATCACGCTAAATTTAAACCATGAATTGACAGAAAGGTAATTCTTGGATCACCGGTCCGCGTCACAGTGACTGAATGGTCCACGAGCTCGTCTCGTAACCAGGAGATCCTTGGGTTTGAACCCCAGTGGGTTGGGTTTGAAGAATCACAAGGTAGGCTGACGAAACAGCTGTCCAGTACTCCCTGTAGATTTTCCAATGATTCTCTAACTGATGTCAGCTCATGACCAACCCAGTAAAAATAATAGAAACGCTGTTTCAAGATAGTGAATAGCAACAGTGAAATTCTTATAAATGCTGCGTCATCAAGCGAGGTAGTTTTATTTTCCATAGAATGGTATTTATACTAAAAGAAGGCACTCTAAACTTATGTTAGCCTAGTCTGAGATTCATAAGCGCAGATCAAACCAACGACGCACCTAATACAGCAGCATTGACGTCAATACGGTCAACTATCAAGACGCGTAAACATCACCATTCAGCCACTGTGTCAAATGCGCCAGTCTAACACCATTATTAAAACACAAACGTTGAAGAGAAGCGCCACACAAAATCTTTTACTTTGTGAGAGGGCTGGGATACTGCCCAGACAATCAGACAAAAGCAAGTGGGCCACACTCCAAGCCTTTAAGTTTTGAAGGCTGATACACTAGGCAGTGGAACAGCGTCAGAAGCTACGTTCCGATGGGTCCTGATGACCAAACAGAGGTCCATATCCCATTTAATCCTTATGGATCCTAGAGGCAACAGGTTGTAGGCGTTAGACGTTCGCATTCGCCCTTTCACTTTTGTAAGGAACACCCTCGCCGAGTGAATAGGACTTACCTGATAGAGGTAGGCGGCGATGTGAACGCATAGCCACGACAGAGCACTTTGAGACTGAAGTCTACCCCCACTCTCGGTTGTACCACACCTGTGTCTGTTAAATCCCTTTTCCAGAGACTCATGTTCAAATCACACTTTAGCATCGTCAGAGTCGTTATAAAGGGCAGATTTACAACACACCAAATAATGTCGATTTGCCTCTACTACTTAGCCCATGACGTATATGAATGTTTGACCACTGCGATCTCTGTGGGAACGTCCACATTCAGTACACGGAAAAACTATAGGGTTTAGTAGATACGACAAATCACAAAGAGTGAATGCACCTGCGCCAGTCATTGAGAATGACTTTCAGCCACATCAGCAAGTGTCTCCAACCACCGCCATTGGTTCTTACCGTCATCCCAAGAACCCTAATCAGTCTGTCAGATAGTCTACACCTCCCTCACTAGGCAGCTGGCTGGTTTAAGCTAAATGTTATGCATTTCATTGAATGATGAAGCCACGTTTTCGTCTGACCACCAATAGCTCACTGTTTTTCCCCCTGATACATCTTGTGTCAATCAGCTAACACTTCCCGATGTCGGGGAAGGCAGGTGATTGCTAAGCTAGGCTGGTCACGCGTAACACATGTCCTAACCACCTCTCTTAGTCGATGCAGCTGCTTCACAATTTCCTGGCCTCCTACCACTCGACCGAAGGGGAACCACCTCAATATTATTCACTTTATTATACCACCACCTAACACACACAGGAGATATAGAAGGCAGACAGACACGTATGATGAAAGACAGTCAGGCTTTTCATGTCTTGTACTCGCAGCCAACGGTCATGCCTCACTAACAGCCAGCTAGCCATAGAGGAGGACGTAACGAACTGCTGCTGAGCAGTACAGACGTTCTTTAGTCGACAGCCAGTCGGATATAACGTCTAATAGGCCAGAGATGGTGTAAGTTGGTAGGAAAATGCCAAATGAGCCTTCTGTATCAGTTCGGAGATTTCGTCAGGCATCAGATCAACCCGCTAATCGGGCTAAAACGGCTTCCCAAGTAAGTGAGTTAAGCGGTCAACACGGTGCATTAACCACTTCACTCCTGCCTCCTTATCTTCAAGCTAGGAGTGAGTTGATTTAGTTCAGTCTGGTTCAGTCCAGTCCTGTAGCCGCATCATCTTACATTTCACACGAGAGAATCGCATGCCAAACATTCAAACATTGGTACTGCTCAAGGTGTTCAGAAAACTCTACTGTATTTCGTCAGCGTCTTCATCTAGGAGGAAGGATTATATTATCCGCATATTCTAAGTCGACAAGACTACCATTCCCTGGTCGTAACAAGTCAATCCCCGAGTCACTGAAGTCACTTAGGGTTAATTCCATTAGTACGTCTATGATGAAATTAAACAGAAATGGGGACAGTGGACATCCCTGACGGACACCACTGGTTGTGATCACTTCAGATGACAACTCTTCAAAGCCTCTCTCACCTGGCTGCATGAGTTCGAGTAGAGTGCCTTGATCAGTCAAACATTGCCATAGTACCTCTCGGTCGACGGAATCGAATTCCGCTTTCGGGTAAAAAATATGACTATTGTTGGACGCCGCGGTCAGTATGCCTATGTTCCAGAATCTGTCGAAGGTTGGAGATATGATCAATACACCTTCTTCCTGGTCATAAGCCTGCCTAATTTCCTCGTGTTTGTTTCTCCCGAGTACTACATGATCTAGGCATGATTATTGAGCCTAGAACTTTAGATACCATATTGGTCAAGCTAATCACAGGAAGACTGGTCTCCCTTCTTGTATATCGGGATAATGAATGACTTACACCAGCCCGACGGGACTATGCTTGATTCTCAGACGCTGCCTAATACCTTAGTTAACTCAGACAGCAAATTGTCTCCACTGTCCTTAAACACCTCTGAAGTCATTCTATCAGGTCCCGCTTCTCTGCCTCGTTTCAGATTAGAGACAGCTTGCGTAAACTCAGTTAGGGACGGACGACCAACGTTTACATCCCATTCAGGGATTCTCTAGTGTTACTTATCGCTGATGCCGTTTCCACTGTTCATGGTCGTTGAGTAGACTTTAAGTTACACTTTTCAACGTTATACTCCAGAATAAAGGCGATATATATATATACATCCATAAGATGAAACAAATAAAAAATAAGAAAAAACTAACAAACCTACCTTCCTAGGGAAGCACGAACACTCTCCAATTCATTATAATCTACACCTACTGAATATGAATTCAGTAGACGATTAGTCGGGGAACTGAATAACTCCATTGTTCTATTACTACTCTGAGATTTACATTGACTTTTCCAACAACTACACGATGGTAGACAACTTAAATTACTCGATGTACAACCACCTAATAATAATGGTGGTGTAGTATCATTTAAATCAATATTTTCTAAACACTGTTCAATCTGCTGAATATTTTCCTCATCTTCACGCTCACGCTCATGTACATGTAAACAAGGCGATTGTTCAGTAGCATTATCATTTCTTGCTGAAACAGAACAACAACAACAACATTCACATTCTGAGCATGAATAATTCTTCACAGGTAACTGATGATTAGGTGTGATGCTTGAATCTAAATGGTTTAGTACATGATGCAGTTGTAAATCAATTGATGCTAAAGATACAGCTAGATCTTGTGAAGTTTTTGAAATGTTATCATGAAGAAAATGATTAGTAGCAGCAGCAGCACCAGCAGTAGTAGAAGTGGAATTTCTACAATGATTCAACGGCAGTGGTGAACGTGGAACAGACATAGATCGTCTTGTTGTCTGCCAAATATTTGAATGCTGATGATGTTGATGATGGTGATGACAATTAGGTAATGATGCTGGTGATAATGATGATGATAATGCTGCTGGTGATTGAGTTGACTTATCTTCACGTTTTTGATTTATTGATGACTTGGTGGTCACTACTACTTTTTTAGTCATTGGAATTTGAGGAGTGACCGGAAGTTGCTTGTCAGCTGTTGGACTTTGATGCGATATCGATGTGTTGTTCGCCTTGTCTGCGCAATCATTAGAATTAGGATATGATGGTTTGCCGGTTTTAGAAGGGGATAAGCCATCATCTGAAGGATCTATGTTGGTCTGTTTTTGTAGTGCTAATAAACTTGAATCTAAATTATCTAAGCGTCGTTTATACGTTTTGTAGAGTAGCTAAAATGAAAGAAGAAAGATGGAAGATGTATATGTATATACATGCAGATATGATTATATATCACATACTATAATACAGAGTTAGTATTGTCAGTAGTACAACCGTAGAACGGCCACCAACCACGACTCACATGGTTAGGAGCTCAATTCCCGGCCGACGCACTCCTAAACCTGGCTAGGCCAGTAATACGGTTGGTAAAGAGGGAAGGCTGGACATGAGCCTAGCAACCCCATCCAGCAAAACACCTCTGCTACCGAAACTGTTTGTCTGTCTGGTTTCTGGGATTGGTTCCGTATTGGTAAACTTACCGCCGGCTACGGACCACCGTAGGGCAAGTCAGGATGTACAATTGTTGAGGTCGACCTTTTCTAACCCCAACAACGTAGCTGGTATACTGGTTATCTGGGGGAAACACTTTACTGCTGTTACATCCCTGATTCTCAGGAGTAGGACTTCGCCCACAGACCCCCAGCATAGTGTAAAAGAAATTCCTAGACAATGCCGGTAACTGCTTTTAGTCTAATCGCTATCCTAACAACCTTCCTGGCATGCTAAGACCTACAGGAACAATAGTTCCAGCCAGTGTAGCTTGTTGGGTGATTGCGATATGCAAGCCCAACCATCACGTCAAGGTAGTAGCTATCGGTCAGGACTACCGAAACTTCAAAGCTCTAGCTTGAAGCCCTAGGTTTCACTGGGAACGTAAAGAAATAACATACATGGCAACAAATCACAAAAATAAAAAAGATTATTAAAAGTCGTAAAACAAAACTATCCTTACGGAAACAGGAAAAAAATGAACAGAAAAAACACTGAATGAACGTGTGTATTAGTTCGAGTCGTCACACTCCATGTAGCACACAAAGCAAGAGAAGAAAGTAGAAAAAAAGCATAATCGAGACAGTTAACAGAGGTGTGAGACAAAGGAATAGTAATAACGAAGAACAATACAGTTTCATTGGAAATCATAAGTCACAAGGAGTGGATGCATCTACGCCATTGAAAACGATTTTGAGCCATGTCACCAATTGTCTCCAGCCATTGGTTTTCACCATCCCGAGGACCCCAACCAGTAAGGAAGTCTACACCTCCCTACGTGACTGGCTGGCTTAAACTAACTGTTGTGGATTTATTTCATTGACTGACGAGGTCATGTTTTGAATTGACCACCGCTAGTTCTTTTGCAGTCTGACCCTACGTCATCGCCCGTCGAGGAAGGCGATGACTAGGCATATGTAACACATGTCCTAACCATCTCAACCGATGTAAATTCACAGCCTCGTCGATTGATTTCCCCTCCTTACCTAGAACTCGACGCCTAACTTCAATATTGCTCACCTTATTATACCACTTCACACGGGAGACAGAACGCATGCACCTATGATCAAAGACAGCTAATCTTTTCATGTCTTCCACTCTCAATGACCGTCTCACAGCTATAAAGGAGGACGGTGAGGACTGATGAGCAGTACACCCGCCCTTTGGTCGATAGCCGGATATCAAGTCTACGCCAGAGACGGCGTAAACTGGCATGTGCGAGACTAGCCCTCTGTATCCGTACTGAGATTTCGTCAGGGATCAATCCGTTGGGGCTGATGTAGCTTCCCAAATAAGTGAAGCGGTCAACGTGCTCTACCACTTCACTCCCTATTTCTAAACTAGGAGTCAGTGTAGTCCAGTCCTGTAATATCATCTTACATTTGGCGGGAACGAATCGCACGCCAAACATCCATACTAAGCCTACTTTAATTTGGTGGATGGTGACTAACAGTGGAATCCAGGGCGCGAATTTCACCCCTTCCTATCTGGGACTAGCTCTTCATCTGGATATATCTGCATTCCCCAGTGTGAGTCAGTGATGGTGTTCTCATTAGGGATCGAATCCAGTACCTATAGTTCCAAACGCCAGAGCGGGTTATCCACTAGACTACTTGGGCGACGACAGCCGCCACTTTCTTATACAACGGGTAACAGTAATTATTTAATTCAATTGTCAATCTGAGACCGATCACATCGGTTCAACCAACCAACAGGAACGTCCAGATTGAATTAAATAATTACTAATACCCGTTGCACAGAACAAGAGGTGACTCACATGGTCCAAGTGGTCTAGTGGATAACCCGCTTTAGCGCTTGAAGCTGTGGGTAGTGGGTTTGAGCCTCAGTGGGAACATCAACACTGACTCACTGAGGAATGCAGGTACATCGAGATTACACATCCTGAATAGGATGAAATGAGCATTCTGGATTCCACTGTTAGTCAACATCCACCAGTTTACTTCAAGAGGCTTCTTGGTTTGAAGTCTCAGTAGTGGCATTGTTTTTATGGTGTGGGGTGGCTAGTCTCACATCCATCTTTCTCAGGGCTTACTACATATGCTAGTAAACTAGGCGTGTTATAGGAGTGATACTGGATTAAATAATCCTACTTTAGTTGTTGAATTTGAGAGGGGAGCCTTAGTGTCGTCAACAATTGGATGCAGTCTTGAAAATGGTCCTACTTCAGCCACCGATACTGCTTACTGAAGAGGCAGATGACTCGACATGCACAGGTCCCAATCACCTAACATCTTTGTAATCCCTTTTGATCATAAGCCTGAATAGCGAAGTTAAAGTGTCATAGCCAAAACCACAGTGACCTTGAACAACCAATCAGAAGCCAGACGCAAAAAAAGTCGCATAATTATCGACAAATGCACTAAAAACATTCCAAACATGATATTACACTATGCAGTTGTCGCTTATGTGCTGTAACAGTGTCTCACAGTCACTATACAGGTAAAGAGGGGAAATCAATACACGAAGCTGCGAAGTTACATCGGCTGAGATGGTTAGGACATTGTGTTACGCATGCCTAGCCATCCTCTTCCTCGACAACGGGCAATGTTAGCTGACATAGGGTTAGGTTGGAAAATAGCCAGTGGTGGTCAAACCAAAACATGGCCTCGTCAGTCAATGAAATAAATCCACAACAGTTAGTTTAAGCCAGCCAGTCACGTAGGAAGGTGTAGACTGCCATCTGGTTGGGATCCTTGAGATGGTAAGAACCAATGATGGTGGCTGGAGACAATTGGTGCCCTGGCTCAAAATCCTCGTTGTCAATGACAGTGCAGATGCATCCACTCCTTGTGACTTATAATACCCAATAAAACTATATTGTTCTTCGATATTCCTATTCTTTTTGCCTTATATCTCTATTTACTGTCTCTATTTTGCGTTTCTTTTTACTTTCTTCTTCTTCTCTGGCTTTGTGTGCTGAGTGAAGTGTGGCAACTCGAACTGCTGCACATCGGTGCAAAGTTCTATGTTAAAACCTGTCAGTCAGTCAGTCACACAGAAATCATACCATGCGCGATAAATGTATTCATCAAGGTGACTGCAGGTCAATGGTACTTAGATCATATATTTCCGAAACTGTTCTTTAACCTACCCATAACTCTAACCGTAGTCCTGATCTTAACCCTAGATCGTAGTCTTAAAGGCCAGTATAGATTTACAGAAGAAGTACCTAGGGAATTAGTAGAATAATTTATCTCCCGCCCCCTTCCAAGTTCAAAAAGGCAGACATGATTTAATTTTGAATGACCTTTTATAGCACCCCCTGCATCTGATTGGTTTTTGAAGGTCAACACTTTCGAAAGACCTTGGACTTTGGCTATGATACTTTGACTTCGCCCCCCCCCCAAAAAAACTATTCGTTTTGCAACTCCAGTACTCCCTGGTTTTCAATGGTACTCTAACTGATATCAATCCGTGATCAACTAGTAAAAAAACTAATCCTTACAAACCAATTATAGAAAATTAATCTGATGCTCGCTAGCGATTTGCTACAGGATGGAGTTTCCTGAAGTTCTAGTGAGAAGTCGTGACCAGTGAGGTCCATCCAGACGTCACGTGTGAGGATGGATATCCCACCGACGACATTGGTTGGTGGTCGCGCTAAATCACGAATTGGTAGAAGTTAGAATTCATGGGCTGTGGCCATTGAATCGGGTTGGATCCCAGTGGCTGAATGGTGTACGAGCCAGCTTGCCTTATAACCGGAAGGTCCTGGGTTCGAAGCCTGGTGGTGGGTGCGTACTGGCGATGATTCCCAAACTAGGATGAATCAGCTGTCCAGTACTCCAATACTGGTTTCCAATGGTTCTCTAACTGATATCAATCCGTGATCAACACGTAAAAATATATATATATATATATATATATATATATATATATATATATAAACCAACGTCAATCACAGTTAGTTTCTTGAAGTCAATTACAGAAAATACACAAGCAGGGATCACTTCAAACTTGACTGAAAGTATGTACAAGCAGCGAGAATAACTTATGAAGTGAATATTACTGTGATATAAAACGGAACACAATTAATTTCTTATTCAACATGACATACCTTCAAACGAAACAGTTTCCCCTGGATACGAGAACGCTCTTCAATCAGATGACTTATACACTCTGAAAGATTGACAAAACCTTTATTATTATTAGGCTTTGAAATATTCTGATTTGGTGACTGGCTTTCATAATTTGACTTTGTAGCATTCTTCACATTTACTTCAGTATGAGGCACAACATTCGATGCACTTGGGATAGAAGAATTCGTCTTGCAATTCATCACTGGTGACTCTACATTTCCTTGATCTCCACTGGTTAAATGACCTTTTATTTCAGTGGGAGATAGACCAACTTCAGGACACAGGATATCTTCATCATCACAGTAATCTTTGAATTTTTTAACATCACTAGCAAGTACTCCATATTTTTCATAGAATATACGATCAGCTTTCTTGTCTGTATTCAAAAGATCCAAAGAAGAGAAACTTTTGCCTATTTTCACCGGTGAATCTTGTAGCTGACGACGACTATTGCATTTGCATTTTGTCGCTGCACTGTCATTGATTACTTCAGGGGTAATAAGTTTATCATCATCAGTCAGTAGAGATTTTCTCACTTTATCTTGAAGTGCTGTAAGATTGTTGTCAGCTTTACGTAAATTCTCAGCGTATATGTCTGACCAAATTTTAAAACTTTTGTTAGACGAACGACGACTGGCTGGTGAGTAAAATTGAGGTTTATTATTATTGTTATTATTATTATTATTGGGAGTGGACAGTGTAAGCGATTTATCACGTCTTTTACTACCGGGTAACTTGAAGTCGCGGTATTCAGTAGGATCATCGGTACTTAATACTTCATCTTTTCTTTTAGTCACGGGATCTTGGCATCCAGGCGTATTATTCATAGGTAATTTATTCTTATCCTCTTGATTTGCATCTTTGTTCGTTTCAGATTGTTTACAATCACCAGGAGAATGAGAACGTGAGTCTATATCAAAAGAAAATCAGTGGAAAAATAATAATAATAATAACCCAGTAAAAATCTAAATATTATTATAATTCAAGTATTGGTTTGTAGGGGTTTTGATTGATTGGTTACAGGATTTCATCATGAGCATGACATCAGTTAGAGAACCATTGGAAAACCAGCACTAGAGTACTGGACAGCTGTTTCATACTAGTTTGGGACTCGTCAACAGTACGCACCCACCCCACTGACAGAGTTCGAACCCAGGACCTTCTGGTTACAAGGCTAGCGAGCTCGTAGACCATTAAGCCACTGGGACCCGCCAATCCAATGGCCAGCCCATGAATTCCAACTTCTGCCAATTCATGACATAGCGCGACTGCTAGCCAATGTCATCATTGGCGAGTATTTGTCCTCACACCCAACCTGCTGCACCCTATTATAATTTTAAAACATTCACTATATCTAAGAACAAACGAGCCAATGGTTTTAAGTACTCGATTATCAATTAGTGGTTCATAAGTGTGAACACTAGTTATTTCCCAATTAGGCGGTGTTTGAGTATCCCTAGGGAGCAAACTACAGAAATTATGAACATTTACATATATTATGTCTGTGTGGTTTCAACATAGAACTTTGCACCGATGTGCAGCAGTTCGAGCCACCACACTTCACTCAGCACAAAAAGCCAGAGAAGAAGAAGAAAGTAAAAACAAACCCGAAATAGAGACAGTAAATAGAGATATGAGGCAAAAAGAATAGTAATATGGAAAAACAATGTACTTATTGTTATAAGTCACAGGGAGTGGATGCATCTACGCTGTCATTGACAACGAGGATTTTGAGCCGGAGCACCAATTGTCTCCAGCCACCGTCATTGGTTCTTACCATCTCAAGGATCCCAACCAGATGGCAGTCTACACCTTCCTACGTGACTGGCTGGCTTAAACTAACTGTTGTGGATTGATTTTATTGACTGACGAGGTCATGTTTTGGTTTGACCACCACTGGCTCTTTTCCAACCTGACCCTATGTCATCTGACATTGCCCGTTCTCGATGAAGGCGATGGCTAGGCATGCGTAACACATATCCTAACCATCTCTCTCAGTCGATGTAACTTTGCAGCTTCGTCGATTGATCCCCCCCACTTTACCTAGCACTTGACACCTAACCTCAATATTGCTCACGCTATTATACCATTTCACACGGGATAGAACGCAGGCACCTATGATCAAAGACAGCTAGCCAGGCTTTTCATGTCTTCCACTCTCAATGGCCAGGTCTCACAGCCATAAAGGAGGACGGAGCGGACTGCTGAGCAGTACACACGAAAATACATATATTCATACCAATTCAAGGCTGAATGCTTTGAAGAAGCACTGGAATTGGCCGAACGAGATTCCGTTCTTGAGATTTGTACTTTTAAAAATAGAAAAGAAAACCAATAGACGAGTTTTTACATGTCTAAACGAATACGTATGGTATTCCGAAATGTGGTGGAGTGAATTATGCAGAAGACTGTGTATTGCAGCGAGAAGATAGGAATGTGCTGAACCAATCACAAGGCTCTAGAACATCTGGATTTCGCAGATGATTTATGTCTAATATCAAACAAACTCGAAGACACATAGGCGAAAACAAACAGAGTGGCTGGGGATCAGTGCGGTGAAGACAGGACTTCGAGTGAACACAGAGAAGACGGAGGTGATGAAGATAACCAACCAACAGCAACAACCAGCACCAATCACCATCTACGGGAGAAATTTGAAAGAGGTTACTTCCTTCACTTATCTGGCTAGGCAGCACAAACACACGCGGCATCACAAATGGAGATGTCAAAGACAGACAGTCAGAATCGGAAAGGCGAGATACACCTTCATCAATCTGATATCAGTGAGGAAATCTTCTACACTCAGCATAAGGAAGAAGATTCGGATTTTCAACACGAATGTGAATTCACGCATTGCCTCTATGTGGGTCAGAAACCTGCACGGTTTGTGAGCCACGAAAAGCATTTCCAACAGGCAACTGCAGACTTTTATCAACAGTGACCACTTTCGATGACTCCATATTGAAGATCAAATGGCTGTATAGAGATAAAGAGTTAGCAATAAGAAACTCTGACAATGAACAAACCAACAGGTGAGAATTTATCACTCTACAAATATGGGGAACCAAATGCAGATGGAATGGGAACACGCCACTGAGGAGACCATCGAATGACATCACGCTCAATGCAAGTAACCGCTCGAGTGGACCCCGAATGGGAAACGACGAGTTGGGCATTGGTCTGAGGGTGACATGGAGGAGAAGGAGATCAGAGATTATAGACAATTTTGAGGCCAGGTGAAGATGACAGTATGAAATAGGTCAAAGTGGAGATGTGTTGTGGAAGCCGTATGTTCCACTCGGAATCCAAGGGAACAATAATAACAACAACCGAACAAGCGAATGCTAAGTTACAGCACAGTACAGCACTCAAATCGAGATTTCCACCTATTGTTCAGCACTTCAATAGAAATAGATTATAAAGCATGTTTTTTTAAATTTTCTGCATCCGCCTGTGATATGGCATAGTCAATAAGTCAAATAATATACACGTTAATTTCAGAATACTACATAAAAGAAGTGAATCAGACCACGTGGTGTCAGATAATCACAAATAAAGAGATTAGTATATGCATCACAAATGCCCATCTACGGTCTACATACTAATAAGCTGAATCTTAATTTGGAAAAATTACGAGTGAGTTGACAAAATGCTGTTTATCATATCAAGTTGCTGAATAATTGTCTCTCACACAGAAAAATGTGGACTGTTTGTTTAAAGCCTCCAAAACAACTGGGAAATCATGACTAGATGTTCCGGCGGGGGGATACACAGTTTGGAATCAGTTACAGTGTGTTACAAATGTCTTCAAGCATTACTTTACCCTTAATTGTAATATACGATTCCTTTATATGCCTTACCTTTCTATTTTTTTATCCTTCACCTTCCCCAGTGGAACATCGGGCTTCAAACTAGTGGCTTGAAGTATCCGTAGCAGTGTTTATTTTACAGGATGAGGTTGCTAGCCTCATGCCCAACCTTTCCTCTTCACCAGCATTATTTCTGGCTTAGTGAGGTAAAGGAGTGCGTCAGCCGGGGATTGAGCCCCGGACCATGTGCATGGTTGGCGAGCGTCCTAACCGCTATGCCACCGACACACAAAGGAAGCCGGCAACACCCGGTATTCCCAGCCGGTCACCCATGCAAGTACTAACCAGGCTCAACGTAGCTTAACTTCGGTGATCGGACGAGAACCGGTGCTTTCAACGTGGTATGGTCGCCGACAAAAGCCCACCAGCTCCGGCGAAGCGGATTTATGGTGCTTTATTACTCTTGTTACCGTCCCTTATATTATCTTTACTACAAATGTAAGGCGAGGATAATCTTAAGCCTTATGCAACACTGGCAGATCCCAACGTTAATGTTTGTCTTATGTCACTTATAACCTAATCAGCTTCATGAATTTCAATGTCTTGTCTACATTACGACTAGAGACAGAACTTCCCCAAAAGAATGACTGTAGTTTAACCAACAACGAGAAAATCCTCAACCTAGGCTATCAATCAGTTGAAAACACTCCAATAAGACAAGCTGGTGGTACCACACCTTGCTACGCAAAACTTCGATTAGTTAAAAAAAACAGTGCTCGAACCTCATTACCTACAAAGTTCAAAATCGAGAGTGTCTTAAAGATGAATTAGAGGCAGAAAAACAAACGAAGAATAAGTTAGGAATTATCAGGTGAACTGTCTGTCTGGGTTCAACATAGAACTTGGCACCGAAGTGCAGCAGTTCGAGTTGCCACGTTCCAAATACCACACAAAGGTAGACAAGAAGATGAGTGAAGAGAATCAATAGAGTTTTGACAAGTATAAGAGTGAAACAGAATGAGTAATGGTAGAAAGGAATATGAAAGATTACAGAGACTGAATACATCTGCGCCATTGACAACGATTTTGAGCCATGTCACCTATTGTCTCCAGCCATTGATTCTTAGAGTCCCGAGGGCCCAAACCCGGAAGTCTGCATCTCCCTACCTGACTCAGTTTAACTGTCAAGGATTTCATGGATTGATGAGGCCATGTTTTTGTTTGGCCGCCACTTACTCTTTTCCAACCTGCACCTATATCAGCTAGTAATGCCCGTCCGTCGGGGGAGGCGATGGTTAGGCATGCGCAGCACGTGACCTAACCATCGTCGATTGATTTTCCCCCTTTGCCCAACACTCTACGCCTAACGTCAACATTACTTACCTTATTATACCACCTAACGTGAGAAAGAGATCGTAGACATCTGTGATCAAAAACAGACAACCTTTTCATGTCTTCAACTCGTATTGGCCATGTTTCAGAGCCATAGAGAAGGACGGAGTGAACTGCTGAGCAGTACACACGTCCCTTGGTTGATAGCCGGATGTCACGCCTACGCCAGAGATGGTGTAAGTTAGCGAAAGCAGCTCGAGCTTTTTGGATCCGTGCTGAATCAGGTGAACTATTCAACAGAGTTTTAAGCCTTATGTTTTAGTCATCCTCCTTATAGGTGTGTTACTAGTTTAATCATTGGGAGAAGCAAAATTGGTTTTTGGTTGGTATTTATTTCAGTCAGGAAATATAAGAAATGAGCACAACTGTGCTAGATCAGACAAAATGTATAGTATATTTATATGCAGCTTAAACTTTATCAAAATCAATGAGGCTACCTTTGACTCTGTGCTTACGCCTCTTTTGTTAAACAAGCTTGCTGTGACACAAGCAGATTGCTGGACTAATAAAGTGGTTGCACTCCTGTTTTTTGTGATAGAAAGCAATACACTGTTTACAATGGGAAGTCCTCAACAGCTTCACTTACTCTAGCTGGTGTTCCCCTCAAGGAGCTGTTCTTTCTCCTTTTCTGTTGCTTCCCCTTAATAACTTGCCCTATTCTGACAAAGCCAATTTTGTTAAGTATGTCGAGGATCTGACTGTTTTTAACCTGTTACTTTTCAGTCAGACTGTTCCAAAATGAATAACGTTTTATCAGAAATTAGTCAGTGGTCCTTGATTGTCAAATGGTCCTAAGCTTAGTCTCTGCAAATATCAGGTGGTTAATTTCACTTTCAGGTGCAAGCGCGACTTACATGAACTTGTTAGTTAGCATGATTCCACTATCATAGATGCCACAGAAGTTGAAACTAAATCGAATGTTAAATACCTTGGACTGTGTGCATTTCATCTGATCACCTTTCCTGATCTTCCCACATCATGTTAGTTTCCAGAAAGATATTTCGTTTAACGTTCTACGTAAGGAAGTTAAGATGATTTGGTATCGCTTGATGTTTACTTTCACAGGTTGTTAATTCTTGTATTCTGCCTATCCTTCTTTACTGCTCCCCCTCCACCTTAATCTTGCCCGGGTTACTTAAGAAAAACTACTTGGTTATACTGCGAAGGGCACTAAAAGCTGTCAGTAGGGAGAGTGGGGTCTGGTTGTTGTAGATAGACACATGGACTCTTGGAAGAAATTAGGAAATATTATCTTGTCCGACTCTGAGCATCCTCCCTCTCTATACACAACCCTGTCCTTGCATCTTATCAGATAGAAGACTGTATGCTTCGACAACTATGTACAAAAACTCAACAATACCTTACTTAGCAAACATTTTATGTGATGAGAAAGGTGAAAGTCATGACTCTACCAATTTACTGCGGAACTCTAAGTACACAGTCCAACTTTTTTTCATTATTATATTGTTGTCAATATTTTCACTTAATTGAATAATATTATCAATGTAAATGCCCTGTTTTAATTATTATCCCTAAAGTGAGAAGGTTGGATGCAACATTGTAGTACATGCTGAAAATTCCATGCTTGTACCAAAACCACTATCTGGAATAAAGCTATTATTATCGGTATTATATTTTCATCAAAATCTACCCCTATTAAGCGATTTAAGTTTACGAAATTTTGGGTTTGTTATTACCACAGTTTCCTCAGAAGCCATTTAATCCCAAAAAGGTAATCATAATCATCTATGACAAAGCGAACAGTTTATATCCAACTCCGCTAAGTGGCAAAGTTCAACAATAGACTCCCAGGAGTGTAAACGCACCAATGACCTTGCACGCATGCTAGTCGTTGGCTAACGGCACCTGTCATTATCATAGCTGAAATATCAACGCTATTCACCAACTTAGGAGTAAATTTCACCCAGATCATGTTTTCAAATACTGTTTGGACAATGTGTTAATATCTCGTTAGGCTTAGGATTAGGGTTAAGATAGGTATTGGGGTTAGGATTAGGATCAGGATTATAATTAGCATCAAGGTTAGGGTTACTTTTAGGGATAGATTTAGAGTTGATGTCATTTATTTTAATTTGTTTTATTATCCACATTGTGCTAGTAACTAGTCGGCGATCCTCTTACTGGAAACCATAGTAATTCAACCGATGGCTTTGGGGAAGACTGCACAACAGGATAAGAGAGATTAACGATTCACAAAAACAGCTCATATTCAGTCACCTCGGTGAATACATGTACAGAAACTAGTCTAACTTAGCAACCGATACTCCTCATTATTAACTGGGATGTATTTTTAAGTCATGTATCAGAAATACCTTGTTTAATGTGTTTTCATGCATTTTCCTGTAAATATACGTCATTTTTGTACAAAAATGCTTCAATTTTAAGATTGGTCGGCTCAAGGTCACTCGTGCGTTCGCATCCCTTGGGATGCTATTGTTGAACTTTGCCCGCTAAGCTGAACATCCATCCAGCGGTGTTATAAAACCACAGTTACTTAGTTTTTTTTAAAAAAAACAGAGACCTTATGTGCACTTTATAAATCCTGGATTACACACACCTCCAAAAATCAATGATTCATATAACACACTTGTCACTAAGCATAAAATGAATAGTGAAATTCAATCAAAATTTATAAGACTCACCTTTATTTGGATCGTATTTGTCGTGAAACCTTTAGGTGTTTGTTTATTAGCCATATCCTGTTTGGAGTGAGGGAGAACATTATTGGCGGGAGACACGCAACTTTCTGACGATTCATCATCATGTTTAGAATGCTTAACTGTTTGAGCACCACGTTGGTTTTTTTGACGTGCTTTTATGACACAGTTTCGAAAGTACTCATCCAATGGATGTTCCCATATACTTATGCCTGATTTGCTATCATAATAAAATATTTGGTTATTTTCATCCTGTAAAACAAAATAAACAAAGACAATTTATGGATTACACATTAAACTGTGGTAGATCAGCACTTTTGCCTTATGTTCCACTAGGAACCCAAGGGAACAATAAAATAATAATAGATCAGCACTTACACATACACTTGATAACAAACTACACTAATTTTTTAGGGGCTATCTGATTGCCTCAATCCTTTTAGATGGAAGTTTTGGTTCACCGGTTGAAAGCTGACTACTCAAACATGTGAGATGCAGCTTCTCCTTTCCGACGTCTAACAATTTCAGAACTGACATAATACAATTGATTGTCAGTTGTCACAATCAGCATAAGAATTTCAGCGAAGTTTCTCATCTTTGAATCAACACTGATACAAAACACATTTATGTTGGGACAAAATAACAAACAAGAATGCTTATTTCTGATTATAACTGGATCTCAAATGCATCATGCGGCTTAACTATTTCAAACCATGAATTTAATAAATCTTTAAGTCAACTGGCTGAATGGAATACAGTGAGCAGTTCATTTACACTACAAAGGTGTACAGAATGAAGAAATAAAGCGTCCGTAAGTGGAAATTCCCAGTACCATAATCAAAGATAATGAGATTTAATTTTCAACCAGTGTATTAATCTAAAGGATTGCTATAAATTTAAACAAAGAGGCTTAGTCAGTGACTGTGAGCTGAACTAAAAATACCAGGCAATAAATATTGTTGAAAAGAGATTTAAACTTATCAGATATACTGGTGTTGAGAAAATGGCCAACAAGTAGAAGTCGGTGTTTTCAAAGAAAAGTAACCTAGACCAACTGAAACTAGAGACATCACCATGAGGTTGTGAAGCTTCATCGATCGAGGGCACGTGTTATGCATGCGAATTCACCGCCTTCCCAGTCGAGTGAAGGTAGGTGACGTGGGACTGGTTAGGTCCCAATTACTCAGTACTGGGCTGTGAACCACACTTATTGTGTGGGGGCCAATTATGCTGCCCGTTTTCCCAGGATGAAGTGGGTGAGGTGGGACTGGAAACTGGGACCCATTGACTGAAAGTCGAGTGAGTGAAACAATGTGCCGTATCTTCGCAAAAGGTTAAGTGAGATTAGTTAGGGGTGGTCACATCAAAATATCATGCCAACCTCAAAATGCTAAGAACCAATGGTTAAATACTTGGTGACAGGACTTAAAATAGTTCTCATAGTGCAGATGCATTCATTTCTAGGTCCACTAAATCGCTACTATCCACCATGTGCTTATTCTTTCTTCCACACATTTCTATTCATCACAGCTCCCAAAAATTGTTCGCACCTTTGTATATCTTGTGGAGTGTGGCAACTTGAACTGCCTCACATTTGTGCACAGTTCTATATTGAAAACTGAGGCAGTCAACACAGTTTAGGTAAACAGAAAAATGATCGTGATGAGAAATAAGTAGTTCTCAAATGTTCAAGCGCATTGTAAGCGGAACTCAACTAACAGCATTTTTATGCATCGGTCACTGCTAATTTTAAGTCAATATGTCCACCGTCAATAAAGCCACTACATGCTTTGTTTGACAACATTAAACTATGGAAACTGAAACCTGAAGTCCCACTTGGTACTCCCCACATTAAGCATAAAACGTTTAAACTTACTATATACCCAGTCATTCAAAATTTTACATTTTGGTTGCAGATAGATTAATCTAAGATTACCGGTTTTACAACTGTCTGTGTACCTTAGTAATGAAGGAATGATAATGGCGTGTAGCAACTTCAAGCACTGAAAAAAGGCGGAAAAGCAGATATAATGGGCAGGAATGTGGAAGCAATAGCATAAGTGAAAAGTCATCTGGCGAAGCAATGCAACTAGTGTTACAGTAGTGTCACTAAACTACGAGTAAGCCATACTGGAGGTAAAGAATGCACGTGCGATTACTATTTTAAAATCGCATCTGTACAACCCATTACGGGCTTGACTGGATGTATACAGAATTCCTGAAAACCTCGTCATGCAATAACTGTAAACGCAAAATTAGACGCGCACGAAAGAGTTGAAAGTGATTTAATATGAATCATTTTACTTTAAGAAATCCCATCGATGAGCTATACCTTTAGAACTTGCCAACCTTTCGGAAGATTCGCTGAAATTCCCTCCTCCGCAATATACAGCAGATCACGCTCCTTTTCTACATCAATACCGATGCTTTCAGCGTATAGCAATATTTCCTGGTCAGTGGGTTCTCCCGCGCTCTCTTCTAACAGCACTGCCTCCAGCATTCTTAAGTTGCGCACCAATTTAAAAGACTTGTTCTCGATTCACCTTAAAATGCAATGTTCAATGTGTCAATTCTCAAATCTACAATCCGAGTTTAAAACATAGCTCCAAGACTTGAAGTTTAAATTCACAGCATTAATTATATATGTATGGCAATCAGGTATAAACTTGTTGATTTCCTGATGCTAGTTTCTTGAAACTGTGGTATGTTAGCAGACCTATGGTGGACGTCAGTATAACATATACTCACTCATCTGCTAGGACTATGCTGAATGCGGTGAATGGGTAGATGTTTACCACTATTCAAGGTAGAGTCGTCCTTCAAGTCAGACGAAAGCAAACTAGAAGTGTAGGGAGTTAGCACAACAATACAGTACAACAGCGTTATGAAGATGGTGAGAAAGAAATTAAAGCATTGCAAATGTACTTGAAAGAGCTGATACAACGAAAGGAAGAAAAAGAAAAAAAGGAAATCGGTGAGCGAAAAATAGAGGACGAGTAGCGAGACAACCACTACTCAGTCCCTCTGCATATTCTGATCCTCCAGTGGATGTTTACAGTTCACGCTAATATGCGTCATTTGAGGGAAAGGCGGTAATAAAGCCGATAGAGATTGCAATGACATTCTTATAACAACAGGGGGGAAATTTTGCTATACCTGCTTTTCTTCTCACCGGTTTTCTTCAAAAATTCCCGAAATGCCTATACGGAAGTACATCTTCGATCAGATGCCTTCTATCGCTTAATATTGTGTCAGCTGTTATCAACTCATAACTATTTATAATAATAATATATTCCGCAATGAATAAATCTGCTTCTACACACTGTTTTAGCATCGATAATGATTCGGCTCCATGACACACTCGAACATATTTCTTTGAATACTCAATGTAAGACTGGAGTACTTCTCTAAAAGTGATGGTACAACAACTTTGTTGATCTTGTGGCGAGACCTCAGACATGTTTTACGTGGATGTAAAGGGCTCAGGTGTCAGCCTGCTTAACAAAATGTACCTGATATCTTATGCAGTTATCATTTCAGGTCATTCTATAGGGGATAGACCCCAGTATAGTCCTTGAGAAAATTAAGGGAGTGATTTTACCAGTACAGAATATATGCATTTAACCTCAGTACATAATAATCCTTCTTCTGACGACATCAAAGCCACAGTGGTAATGAATCATCCATTCCTATTTTTGAGACTATTTGAAGAAGAATTTGGTGATTGGAGACAGCATGTAAAAGCACAAGGATATACACAAACCAACATGGATTTTGCCTGATGGACACACCACGAACCAGACAGATTTCATCTGAATGTTGCTCAAGGAAGTAGAGACGCAGCCTGCTGGACACAAAGCCGAGAAGGGGTGCAGATGTGGTCTGAGACTATCATCTAGTTCTGGTAACCTTTAAGGTGAAGCGGAAATCCTTCAGAGCAACTGGAGACAGGCCAAAACTGAAGTTCAACATTCAGAAACTGGAGGACAAAACTACATGTGAAACCTTCATTATGGATCAGATCAGCACAAAGTCGGAGATACTACGTGGCGCCACTGAGTAAGCCTCCATTGAAGAACTATGGAACTGACTTTCTGAAGGCTGAATTCAGGGAAAGGGAATCATGTGCTGATCAGATTGCTACTCTGCACATCATCATCACCACAGAACAAAGCATAGAATGGCAGTCCAACCCTTACCTTAACTTTACCAGCTTCGAGAAGGCCTTTGAAAGCGTTGAACAAGAATTGATTTCGAAACTACCTCAACACTATGGCTTCATCATCTTCATCAACGTCATTCAACAGTTATATGGCAATGTCACGAGTCAGGTGATCCACAACGGAAAACAAAGTGAAGCCTCTAAACTGAATACAGAAGTAAGACAAAGCTGTCTATTATCGCCAACGATATTCCTAATTGTGGTGGACTGGATAATGCAGCACACCGTACGTGGGAAGTGAGGAGACAGGAATGCGCTGGACCGATAAGAGGACTCTTGACTTCGCAGATGATTTATGTCTAATGTCACACAAACTCGAAGACCTACGAGCGAAAATCAATAAAGTGGCTGAAGAAGCAGCGAAGACAGGACTCCAGGTGAACACTGAGAAGACGGTGGTGATGGAGATAACCAACCAACAGCAACAACAAGCATCGATCATCGTCAACGGGATAAATTTAAAAGAGGTCACTTCCTTCACGTATCTGACTAGCGAGCACCGTCTCAGCTACAGGCAACAGCCTTACTTTATAGTGAAAATCAAAATGCGAGAAATATCTGGCGACAACAAAGCCTGGGAATAACCTGACGAATAGTCTTTTTCTCAACAATTATTCAGGAGAAAATTTTGGTTGTTTGGGTGTACGTTGACGAGGCCATCGAATGACATCACGCTCAATGAGGGGCGTCTCTCAAGTGTATTCTAAATGTGAAGCGCCTAGGGTGTCGTCAGTATGAGGGTTACATGAAGGAGATCATGCGATGTGGAGATGAGGGTTTACAAACAATCGTGGAACCAGCTGATTAGGATAGGGAAGATTGGAGCAAGGTGGTGTGTTGTTGAAGCTTAGTGTTCCACTCTTAACCTATGGGAATGCTGATAATTTGTGGAAGTAAGTTTTATCACTGTTATTAAATATATATACATATATATATCATAAAAATGTAAATAACGTCCAAGTCCACTGATCTGCCAGTCACTACCTCTCTGGTAATGTGGACGGGTAAATAATGGCACTACTGGATTTCTGTCGACTTTTTGGGTAAATGCCAGTGCAAGCGTCGATGCAACTTTGACTTCTCTGTCAGTGCACACCAATTAAATTCGATCAGTGGAAATAGTGTCCTGTTTTCCAAATTTGTCCACCTTTTTAAAATTTTTATTATAGTTTGATTCCTCACAGTATTTTGGTACAAGTATGGAATTTTCAGCATACGATATCGGTAGCCAATATCCAGCAGGTTGACCATTGATATCACGTGTGCGTCGGCCGTGGATCGAACCTTGAACCATGTGCATGCTCGGCGAGCGTCCTAACCGCTGTGCCACCGACGCCACCGTCGTTCAGATCTGTATCACTCCAAGAAGTCTCGTTAATTCGAGGAGCAGAGTTGATTGCAGTTGAACCCCTCAGTTGGATCCAGCTGTCAATGTAGTTGAAGAATGAACGATCAATTCATGGTTGTTTACTCAAAGCCAACTCCATATTTTGGCAGGAGTCACTGATACTGCAGTCATCGTTCCATCGTTCGCTGTTCGTTAGAAGACGGAGAAATACTATCAGAAGTATTATTGTGATTAATTGTTATGACATTAATTCTTAGACTTTGTGTATTATAACCTTATTGTTGATTCTATATTGGTGCAAGAATAAAGGATTCTCGAATCACCAATCTGTGTTCTGTTTCTTCGCGTTGGTTATTGCACATTGTTGCTGAAGGTATTCTAAGGACAGCGTTAAGTACAGTGTAGTTAGACCTGGACATTGACACCAGCCGCAATTGTTACTCCATAATTTCGATATCCCAAGATCAAGCAAAACGAAAGCAATGTTCTTCGTAGATATATTTAAGGGATCATGAGACAACCCACCCTGTAAAACTGTAATAATATGATTACATCCTCTTGATGGTGGCAAAGGTCCCACAATGTCGACTGGCACATGTTGAATTCGTCCATCGGGTGGATCATGTTTCTTCGAAGTTGTTGCGGTGTGACGGTGTACTATGGACCAATGGCATTGTATGAACTCGTGAGCCTCTTTTCATAATGTTTCAGTTCATTCTTGGCCGCACAAAACTGTCGCTGCTAAGTCTGGCCATAGCACGTACACCAGGATGAGACATCTAATGTAAGTGTTCGAATAAGGCTTTTTGACAACTTTTGGTGCAAAACGTCGATGAACGCCTGTGGAAGCATCGCGAACAACAGCTATATCAGTTATAGGAATAGGCATATTCTGCAACATTAAATAGGAATTTTCGCAGCAATTGCGAATTTCGGCGTCGGTGCATCATGTTGTGACAGTGCCGTCCAAAGTGATATCTATCCAGAGAGAGAGAGTCGGCTACAGCATTTGCATCTCCTTTGATAAACCGAATATCGGTTGGAAACTGGGAAACATAATCTAGCTACCTTGATTTTGCTGGCGGATGTCTATTAAGGGAAGTAGTTTAGGCATGGCGAAGGGGTTTTGGTCGGAAAAGATGGTGAATCATCGATCCTGTGACAAGAAACCGAAATGGTTTACCTCTAGATAGATGCCTAACGGTTCTCTGCCAAAAGTGCTACGACGTGCTTGGAACGGGTCTGACTTCTTGGAAATGAAGTTGAGTGGAGTAAAGGATTTGTTTAAATTCTGCTGTAGAACTGCTTCCACTGTCACCTGCAATGCATCTACACGCAGGATAAGGGATTCTTTGGGATTTGTGTGGGACAACATGATGACATTAGATAGTGCACATGTGACGCTGTGAAAGGCATTTTTCGCTTTCGTGGACTAATGGAACTTCTTTGAATCGCATTAAGCAGATCTGTGAATGGTTGCACTATGGAGGCACATAAAGGGATAAAACGTCGATAACAACTGAAAATCCAGAGAGTCTAGTTCGAGGACGTTCTTATTAGTTTCTGTCTTCAGTAGGACAGATACTTTCAGCTGTTAAACAGTGTCTCAAAAATTCTACAGAAGTGCCGAAAACACATTTCCTGAGATAGCCTACGATGCCAAATCGTTCAAAGCACTGAAGTGAGACACTTAATTGGTTTGTGTGTTCTTCCACAGATGTGCTGGCTATCGGAAAATCACCTGTATATACAGAGACTAAATCTGGACCTGAACCATTGAACGTTGGAACGACTGCGCAGCATTCTTCAAGCCGGAAGGCACTCTCAGAAATTGAAACAGCCCGAAAGGTGTTATGATGGCTGTCCATTCAATGTCCTGCGAGGCAGCTGGTATTCGGTGATAATTCCTAAGTCGACTTTGGGGAAAATAGGTTTCCCATACAAAGTAGATGAGAG